ATTTTTCGTTCCCACGACAGTCGGGTCTACGTAACCGGAACGACCCAGATTTATATCTGGCCAAGGACTGTCACTCCAGCAACACTCCCCAAAAAGTCTTTGGGGAATTTGTATGCTGCTACAACAACAACAACAACGCAAAGATTTTTTGTATGAAAAATGAGCAGGAAAGAAAGTTACTCATACGCCAAATACACCTGAGTAGCACGCTTTTCTGCTCATATTTCATACAAAAAATCTTTGCGCATTTTCATTTGATCACTCATTAAAAAAAAAATTAACTCGATTTTCGGAGTCACCGAGCAATTCTACATAGAAATTGGATAGTGGCGTCTGGAGAACAAAAACCAATCTAAAATTTGTGATCCAGTGTTTCTTTTTTGCATAACACACTGGGTTAAAATCTGAATAACCTGAGTAAGTTTAATGAATATGGGATATGAAAAAGAGATTTATTTTGAGCCCCAAATTTGTTTAATTTTGCAAAAAAAAATTTCGTTACCCTACACGGAGCACGGGGATAAGGCCTAACCCAAAAGTTTTTGCCAAACCACTTTTTCTTCAAATTAATATTTTGTCATAATAATAACACGATTTGAGCTACTAATCAAAATCTATTATAAGGACTCAACATAAAACTCATTATTCTTAACTTTTCCAAGTACGTATAAGAACATTCCACAGTAGAATTTTTGGGCAGCAAATTTTTACTTTTTCCACCTTTTTTACTTTTACTGCAAAAAAAAACATTTTAACTTTTAAATTAGCAAAAAATGCGAAAATCTATGTTTTTATACTTTATGCGATCTGTCACCATACTATTTATCCTGACTGTAGTAATTATTATATTCGTTTTAAAGGTTATTAAATACCCACGAAAATGTGTTTTATGGCGACAAGAGCGTGCTTTATCAGCGATTTCTACCGGTTACATTCATAATCCGGAAATTCAAAATCCAGACATATCAAAATAAAGACAAAATTCAAAAATGCAGAAAAATCAAAATACAGACAAATCAAAATACCGGCAAATCAAAATCCAGACAAATTAAAATACCGACAAATCAAAATACAGACAAATCAAAATACTGACAAATCAAAATACTGACAAATCAAAATACAGACAAATCAAAATACTGACAAATCAAAATACAGACATGAGGGGAAAAAATGTCCGTATACAATTTTTGCAAATCAAAATCGTGTCTGTTAAGTCGTAGTTAGGCTCGCAGAGAGATCTGCGCAAAAATACTGTGGGAAAAATACTGGGGAATACTTTTCTAAAAAAATCCCGAATACACCCCTAACCTTCTTCATCAAAACAATTTCAGCGTACCGGAATTTATTTAAAAAATTTTAATTAGTAAGTATTTACAAACAATCATTAACTACTTATATTAAATTGAGATGCTTAGCTATATTGGCTAAGTATTCTTTGGGAGCATAGTTTTCCCTTTCCATAACCATTGTTTTAAATGTTCTGTTCTCCAGGCGTCGCCGTTTAGCTTGTTTTTCTCCACTAAGCACCTTTTCAATTTTAGTTTCTACAAAAACTTGCTCTTTTATCAAATTTGATATTAGGTTGAATATATTTCCATGGTATTGCCAAACTAAACATGAAAGACGCGCGATTTTTCATTCCAAATTTTCGCCTGCGGCGTTTTTTTATATTAAATTATATTTTAAGAAATACTGAAAATTTGGAATAAAAAATCGGGCGATTTTTTATTCCAAATTTTCGCCTGCGGCGCTTTCTTTAAATTAAATTATATTTTAAGAAATACTGAAAATTTGGAATAAAAAATCGCGCGATATCTTTTGATATACAATAGATAAACAAGTAACTTAACAAAGCTTTTAAGGCGCATTTAATGAGGTGCTGTTATTTATATATTTAATAAAAGAGGAAAAACCTACCCACGCACCACCGAACGGCTAATTAATTTGTCGAGTTGTTTCTTTCCATCTAAGTAATATACGTTTTAAATATGAAACAAATCGGACCATAAATACAGATTTTCCAAGTATTCATACATATCGAGCCCTTACCGCCAAAAAGATTTAAGCGACATTTTTTTCAAAATGTTTATTTTGATGCAGAAATGCATCTACATAGAATAATAAATAACATAAAATAAAAAAACTTTTTAATATACAACGCTTTTATAAATGGACTAAACAGTAGAAAATAATCGGCCCTATCGCGAATTTCACATGAACAAATATTTAAAAAATTATAAAGCAAAACAAAAACAGTTTTTCCGAATTTGTTTTTGTTTGGCATGTTAAATTATGGGAAAGATTTATTCACATGGAATTGGCGATAGGTCTGAATATTTCTCAGTCCCACAGAATTTGTTTTGATAACTTTTGCATTTAATTTACATGCGCCACACGCTATTCATTTTCAATCTCATAAATTGTTTATAATGACTTTTGCTAAAATTTCAAAATCAAAAGTTATCAAAACAAGTTCTATGGGACTGAGAAATATTATTTTCTAATTTTAGTCCATTTATAAAAGCGTGGTACATTAAACAGTTTTTTTTTTTAAATTTATTTTATACTTTTTAGTCTTGTCTGTATAAAATTTTGCAATAGATACTAAAATAATAAAACTTGCAGTGAAAAATATTGTTTGCTCATATTTAGTATATGCCTACATATGTACATACATACATATAGCAGCAATTAATTTCATTTAAAGAAATGGCGTGTCGTCCATTTCCGCTGTAGCGTATGTAGTGCATACTTTTAACTTCTTCTGGAGAGGCGACATCTATCTCTAGAGTTTTTCTAATTGTATGTCTTTGATATGATACCTTCGACGAGGTTGATATCTAAACTAGGTTTGCCATGAATACCTTTGTTATATTTATTGTATGGTGGTCTGGACATACAACATTGCAAGTTGATAAAAGCGTTGTAATAATAAAATAAAATGGGAAGAAAACCCCATCATTCTCAACTGTTTAAATTATGAGCAGAATTGGTATTACCAATCGCGAGAAAGCAATTAAAATCTAAAGGATTTCGAAAAATGTTAATAGCTATAATTTCCAAAAGAATTCGAATTTAGAAAAATTGTGAAACTTGTATTTTTCTTTTATCGTTGTGAAGCATAAACAGACAATTGCACAAAAAAAGCTCGATCTTCGAAAAAATGGTGGCCCGCTTCACAAATTTTTCTTTATAAAAACACAAATTTTTTGTTAGGAGAAAATGTGAAATTTTATATATATCCCCCAAACAGGGATTAATTTCTTCACGTTTTTGCGCCTTATTCTACTGAGCTAAGGCAGTATAAAATCAAGCTGTCACAACCGATACCATGATTCAATTACACAAGATCTGACAAGATGCAGCAAAAAAAAGTAATTTTCTGGCTGACGTTTGTAATTTCGGAGCCATGTTATTTTCTTTGAAAACGAAGAATATGAAGACAAAGCAAGAATATGAAGAAATGCAAGCAATTTCGTAGCACATGTTTGTGCTAACCAATTTATTATTTTTGTACGTGTTTTTCCAACCAATCACCGCGCACTTCATTTTAATTACATTTGTACAAAAAATTTATTGAAAATCGCTTAAAAATAACTGAGGGGATTCCCTTAAACTCGAAAAGTCTTAAACTGTGTAAAACTCGTAAGTTTACGAGCCGTTTATGGGAACGCCCCCTTGGTGAAAATATGTAAGTAGGTGCGTAAAGTAACTGTTTGACAGATCAACCAGGATTTTGTGTGTACACTTGTTGTTTCGTAGCATTTTCCGCCATCTTGTCTCCATCACTATTGATTAAAATAAAAATAAAAATGCCGAAAATTTGCAGAAAACCCATGTTATTACAGTTAGTGGATGGAATTCACTCCTTTTATTCACATATTATTTTTCATTTGTTTCCAATGAAATATAATACATTTTAGTATACAATTTTCCGCTCCTCGGCAACACTGAAGTTTATGAGATCATTTGCGCATCAAATTTGCCTCGTAATTTTCCGAGGGGCTCGCAAATAGAGCTCCATACAAATTTTGACGGTTTTTTTACAAGGCCCGTAAATTTGCGAGCTTTACGAGGTTTACCAGGCTTTTACGAGTTTGAGGGAAGACCCCTACTGAAATGAACCACTTACAAAATTCACATAAAGGAAGAAGCAAAACAGAAATAGCAAACTTCAAAGTTACGAACGTCACACACTTCTTTCTCAATTGCTATTACAAATGGCTGCTTCTCAACCGGTCAGATCTGTTCTATTTGGTTCATGACCGGCTTCGTAAACTTTTTTACACCAGTTACATATACAACGTCGCGCTCTACGTGATCTTGCACTTTTGGTTTATGGGACATAGCTGTTTTTTAAACGATTTCTGATTACACTTATCGATATCGAGCTGTGACACTGTTATCGACAAATCTTGAGTGTGATTTCTAGATAGAAACAGAAGAAATATATATTTAATAAATTCAGGGACTGCGGACAATCTCTCGTGTCTGAGTGAATAATTGCATTATGACAGAGGAATAAATAATTTGAAGAGTGAAGATACCAAGAATATAACCAATTGCTATCTACAAAGGCTAGAGCTAAGTTTGCATATATTTGGGGACACATCATCGTTTTTGCGTCGATCACGAGAGTTCCTACAAACGGTGGTCAGAGTGGAGGTGGCGCCGGAAGTAAAAAAGAGCTGATTATTGTTTTGGAAAGGTAAAATATGTATAAGTGAAAAAAATATTTATATATTTTCCATTTTCAGAAAATATACAATTAAACACTTGATAACTTCAATGCCAAGGTCTAGTTTAATACTGGCCAACTTGGGGTCAATAGCAGGTTCAAAACTAGTTAAACAATTAAAGTAGCGCAGCAGTTGTAGAAGCATTGAAACCGATTCATGTTCTTAATTATAGTATAATTATTATACAATAAACATTTCCGAGCGGGGGAAAATTGATATGAATATTACTGATTGCTTGCTTGTATAAAAAAAAGTGAAGCAACCCACCTCGTGTTCGGTGAAGCCGATAAAAGTAAGTGTAGCAAATTACTTACACCACGTAAATATTTGGATATTTGATAAAGGAAAAGTTTTAAAACTGATATGCCGATGAAAAGAATTACTGCTGCCAACTTTGAAAAACCCTATTCGATTTTAAAGCGTAATTAAACGTATTACCCTTTATCTTATCATGCACGTAAAATTATTATATTCTTTTTATGACGATTTTTATATTTCTCTTTATTTTAAAAAGATGACTTCTACAAAACCACGAAAACAACCAACTGCCATATCTCGTATGAGGCAAGATTATATGCGATTAAAGCGTGATCCCTTGCCATATATCACTGCAGAGCCCTTGCCAAACAATATTCTAGAGTGGCATTATGTTGTAAAAGGACCTGCTAACACGCCTTACTATGGAGGTTACTACCATGGCACTTTACTTTTTCCTAGAGAGTTTCCTTTTAAGCCACCTTCAATATACATGTTGACTCCAAATGGCCGCTTTAAAACGAATACACGACTCTGCCTTAGTATATCAGGTCAGTTTTTTTTAAAGATTAAAGATGATTTCGTATTGAATATTTATTTAATTCTTATTCAAAAGACTTCCATCCCGACACATGGAATCCAACATGGTGCGTTGGAACGATTTTGACTGGCCTTCTTAGCTTTATGGTACATAACATTTAATATGATACTAGTTATTACAGTTAGTTTAATAACTTTTACGTGATTGAACAGCTTGAAACGACTCCAACTCTTGGTTCAATTGAGACAACGACTTATGAAAAACAGAGTTACGCCAGAAAGTCTTTGGAATTCAATCTGAAAGATCCGCTATTTCGTGAATTATTTCCTGAAGTATGTGAAGAGATTAATAAGCTATTGCAAGACGAAAAGGAAAAGCAGGCTCTTTTAAATGGCGCAATTCCTAATAGTATCGATAAAAGTGGTATAACTTCAAATAATAACGGATCTTGTGCTAATGAAGCTAACGGAGACCCACAGGCAAAGTCAACTGTAAACGTCAAGAAATCGAAGTCGCTTATAAATTGGCCAGCGTTATATTCGAATTTGGTGATTGGAATAAGCTTTGCGATTTTTGCGTTGGTAGTCAATTATGTGATCAAGAATTTGAATCAGGAATAAATGGTAAATCGTTGTAGCCCGTAAGCACAATGCACTATGTAATACGATCGATCTGTCTTTTGTTGATATGCATAGATTTATATAATAGGTAGTGTACATAGTTTATGATAAATATTACATTAAATGCAGTATAAGAAATAAATAATTTTATTTGTAACACAACAAAACTTGTTTGCGTTCAGGGGCAGTGTTCGATTCGCGGCATTCGTTTCTGATAAATTTTAATATTACTTTTTTAATTTTAAGGCTTTTTGCGTTTATTTGGATTTGTGCAGGAAAGCTCCTTCTGCTTCACTGCACCCAAACACTTCGGTAGTCGTCTTAGCACTTTCAGAGGCGCATACCAACGGAATTTCGGCAAAACAGAAAACCTCTTAGTTAAAGAGTCATCATTCATTAAATTCTGATCAAAAAGTTATTATAAGGGATTTTTTGTTATTAATTGCAAAATAGGGTGCGTTCAGAAATGCATCAAGCCAAAGTATCAGTCTCTTTTACTTCTAAACTATAACTGATAGAAATGCCTTATTTACGCAACTAAGTTCCAATTAGGCATTTAATCGGGGTTGCGCATATTGGACATTTCCATCAATTATAGTTTAGAAATAAGTGCGTCTGATGCTTTGGCTTGATGCATTTCTGAACACACCCATACATCAAAAAAGTTTAGTTTATAAAATAACGATTTTTTTTCTATATGTAATACACACAACTTAAAAAACTACTTAAACTTAAACTACTTTTAAAAACAACTTAAAGGGTACATATTGTGAAATATTAAAATACATTACGCGACCATATACAAACACAACTATAGGCCGTTTTTCACACAAAGTGGTTTATTTTCTACAAAGTTGTTAGTATTGTACAAATTTGTATACGTAAGTTTCTTTCAAGAAATGAACTTGGACAATAGAATATGATGATTTTTATTTTTCATCGCGGTATTAGACAATGTTACGGATTTCCCTAATTAAAGATTCCAAAGTATGAAAAGTTACATACATACATAATACAATTAAAAATGCCGAAAATTAGCAGAGCATTAGCATTAGTGTATGAAATACATTAATTTTACACGCGTGTTATTTTTTCATTTATTTTCATTATTTTATCATACATTTTAGTATGTATAAAAATTTCGGCCTCGGTAACGCTGAAGTTTACGAGGTCGTTTGCGCATGAAATTTGCCTCATGAATTTAAGACAGGCTCGTAAATAGAGCTCCATAAAAATTTTGACTGTTCATTTACGAGTCTCGTAAATTTACGAGGTTTACGAGGCTTTTACGAGTTTAAAGAAGACCCCTATTGTGTTTCACAAAAAACGCGCGCAACCAGTGAACGATCGCGAAAGATGGAACGGACGACGCTTGCAGCGAAATTTTCTCTTTCGTAATCTTTCCGAACATTAATATTGCTCGTAAGAGATCGTAAATGCTTTTGTTCGCAGATCAACTTTATCAGGTTTTCAGCTACACCATTCTGCTATTGCTGCCTGAAAAGCGCAGAATACCTGAAAAGCTTGTTGTGGAGTTGTACTCTTAGTCCAAAAAGTAAACGCATTACAAAAGTACTCGCGATGCGCAGGTGTATTTTGCCTATTACTACCGTTGCTAAATTTGATCGCTTCTCGTTGCGTTTTTTAACGCCAACGCGTGAACTTTTGACTTTTTCTCATTTCCGCTCAGTTTCATTCTCTTTTACTTTTTTGAAATCTCTTTCATTCCATACTCTGCAAATGCCCTGTCAAAATGAAAATTCCATAGTTAGGCGCTATCTATTTCTGTCAAAAGGTTTTAGCATCAGGGCGCATTCAGAAATGCATCAAGGCAAATCATCAGTAACGCACCCTCACTGTTTGCGAGTCCACTCAATGACCAGTATGATTGTGCAACCCTGCGTACATTCGATTAACATATCTCTTTATTTTATATGACTTTCCAACTATCGCTCTAGGTGGCATCCATTGTGGTGACATCCCACAACGAAGGAAAAAAATTGAGTATTTTTAATCTGAAACAAAACACAAATTTCTTTTGTAAAAGCATATTGCCAACTACAAAATTTGTCCAAGTCGCACCAAAGGCAACGATAAACCAAATCGCAATAATTCATCAGAAAAACGAAACTTCATTGTCGAAAAAAGTTGACGCCTTCTTCATTGCTCTGCAGCGTAGGGGAATCTTCTGGTGGAATTAATTAAAGGTAAGCAACACTAGCAAAATTCTTAAAAGACCAATTAACTGCTTAACAATCTGAAAGTCAGTTCTAGTATTATCTGTATATGTCAATATTTCGGCAGTAGTTAAAGTTTAAAGTGAAAGTAATTTCCATCAATAAAGGTTGTCACTGTTTTGCGGTGAAAGCGATAAACAATTATTGCATGCTTACTACATACACACTCCTATATAATATTACTAAATGTTTAGGTATTACGTTTAATTTACAATTAAAACAGCAATGTCGTCAGCAACGAAACCTCGAAAACAACCCACTGCTATTTCACGGATGAAGCAGGACTATATGCGGCTGAAACGTGATCCCCTCCCATATATAACCGCTGAGCCATTGCCAAACAATATACTTGAGTGGCATTATGTAGTAAAAGGACCAGCAAATACGCCATATCACGGAGGATACTACCATGGTACTTTGCTGTTCCCGCGTGAATTTCCTTTCAAACCGCCATCAATTTATATGCTAACTCCAAATGGGCGCTTTAAGACAAGTACACGGCTTTGTCTGAGTATATCTGGTAACAAAAAAAAAAAAAAATTATCAAAACAAAACATGAAATCATTAAGCACGCGCTATATAATATCTTATTACAGATTTCCATCCTGATACTTGGAATCCAACATGGTGCGTAGGCACCATTCTCACAGGATTATTAAGCTTTATGGTAAGCAAAAATTTATATTCATGCAATAACAAATAATTGAAAATGTTCTTACAGTTGGAGACAACGCCGACACTTGGATCTATTGAATCTACGCAATACGAAAAGCAGCAATACGCGAAAAAATCGCTTGCCTTTAATTTAAAAAATAAAAATTTTCGAGAACTATTCCCTGAAATTTGTGAAGAAATTAATACGCGATTAGAAGACGAGCAAAAATTGTTAACCAAGGGCTCTAGCATAGTCAATGGGGAATGCAGAACAGATAACAGCAGTAGTGAAACAACTAACAGTGATATTAGTGGGCGAGATGGAAATACCGATAATACACAAAAGAAAGGAAGCAGCTCAAACAGTACAGCGAATTCTTTAATTAATTGGCAATCGATTTATTCAAATTTAATAATTTTGATAAGTTTTGCAATATTTGCACTAATGGTAAATTATGTGATCAAGAATATAAACCAAGAATAGAATTCCATGTAGAAAACACCCTCCAGCAACCTAATTCCATAACAATTATTCCCACTTATAAAAAGGCGAGTTCTATTCCTTCCTTTCAATACACACACAAAAAATTATATGTATGTATGTATGTATATTTAAAATAATCTTGTATTATAAACAATACAAAGCTAGTACTATATACTTAAGCAGTAAATTTTTATTTGTAAATAGCATCATGAGAAGTTATGTATGTATTTGCATTCAAATATTAAAATGTTTTAACATGCATATAGACGCTAATCGCTAAACAAAGAAATAAAATCGCGTAGACTTCGTAAATCTTTGATGAGTTAAGCTTGGTTAATTTTATTTTATGTAAATGTTCGAATTAGAGCGATAAGCTGACGAGGAGCTTTACAAAAAAATATTGCAAATGCAATTAAGCAGAACGCTGATATGCAGTCGTTATAAAGTAAAAATTGTAACTAATTTTTATGAAACATGAGTACATAGTATATGGGAATCTATAAACATGAAAGCAACCTATTCATATAAATCCACACAATTTATTTCAACCATACATGCTTCTTGGACACATAGGATTATGTTGATAAGAATATGCTTTGGGGTAATCATTCCTACGACATTATTAAACAGTTCTTATGGTATATGGACAGTTGAAGAGAACGAAAAACGGTGAAACCGGGAAGTCTCCAAAACAAATCTGAGAAGGTATGACGGAAATTCATTTCAAACAAGGCACGTTGAACAAGTAGCACAATCAGGGATGCACTTCTGACGTTTTTCATTCGATAACCTGTTTGAGGATAGCCCCACAGGGGCCTATTTCATAAAGTGACAGTGATAATTTTGTAACGACAGACATTTTCCGTACAGTCAGTGATAACTCGACAGTTTTGTGGGTGTTTTGTTTCATAAAAACAATTGTCACCACCGCTTTAATTCCATGAGAAATTCCATTGAAAAAGTGACAAATTGCCACTGTCGGATTTTAAAATCGTCGTTGACAAAATTGTCGCTAGTCATATGAAATTAATATTTAATTCATATGTAGCAATTGCATTTGCATTATATTAGTTTTAAGAAATATTCAAATTATTGTAAAGTAATGAAATGCGCTTTATTACCGGTTCAGCGCTAACCTTACTGGTCTTCATCTTAAATTTGTCATTGCCTCAAACTAGATTGCAATAAGCAGAAGTCCCTGCCACTGCCCCAATTTTTCTTGCAGGGAATTTGGACATACAAACCTACACACAGTGTTGCCAAGTTTTGAATTTGAAAAAGCACTAAGGCCCTGTGCCAATTGATAGAAAATAGAAAATTTTGACGGATCAAAGTAAAAATTTGACACTTCTCGTGGTGAATACGAACGTCAAAATTTTACCTATCTCATGGGGCTAGGTAAAATTTTGACAGCTTATAACCATGTATACACATAATATTGCTTGGCGGTAATAAGGAGTGAACATGAAAATGAAAGCTGAAACAGCATAAAAAAGCGTACGTTACTTGCAAATTATAAAATAAATATAAATTTTAAGAATTTCAGCAACACACAAAAATAAAGCTTTCGCACGAGCGTTTGTTTGGTTTTTCAACTGTCAAAATTTTACTCTGCATTTGGCACAGCAAAATTCAATTTATTTGTACACCAAAGCAAATTTTTCCACCCCGTCTCACCACGGGGAAAAAAGTTACCGATTGGCACAGGGCCTAACTGTATGCATAATAAGAAAATAAAATTATAGTTTAAAAAACTAAAACCTCCCTATTATAATTGCCATTCGCACTGTCATCAGGTGTGTAACTTGAGAATAGAAATCGCTGCATCTTTTAGGCGCATCAATATTACATAGTTACATCCCGAGTTAATAAAAGGAAGGTAAAAAATTTGCTGTAGGTTTCTTGCTAGGCGGTCGAATTTATTTTATTTTCTACAAATCTAAATATTAACAATGTGGTTTTTATTTTCTAATTTGCAGCTTTTCCCAGCGTTGCCCGTTTTGCTAAGCAAACTTTAAACAGTTTATATTAAATTTTCTTCGTTTTGCAAATTTTTTTACCAATTGTTATCAAACGAAAGCAAAATCAATGAATGAAGTTTCATGAGCTATGTGGATGTTTAAATCTACACTTTCCGACCACTTCAAACCTGAAACTTAACGAAATTTGATTTCCCGTTTAATGTGTCTTATTTGAGCGTATTATCCACCGGCGCATACTGGGAACCTTTTTTTTTTTATCTAAAAAAACTTCCTACTCTTCAAATCTTACCCGATTTCGATTATTTTTTCTTTAAAAGATTCGCTATTAATGCTACTGTTAGGAGATTCTTGCGCGTTTTTGCATAGTCGTAAAAATATGACAAATTCAGTCCAAACAAAAGGTCGAAAGTTCAATTCCTGCAGTCTCCATTCGGCAGGTAATGGAAAAATTCCGAATGTAATTCTGGCATGATTGAAATTACTGCCGCATATTTTGTTGGCAAACATATGCTCTCTCGCTTATGATTGTCATTTAGGGTACTCACAGTTCTATATTATCTACTGTGTTAATTTTGCCACCTGGTAACTTTAAAACATTTTACCATGTGGTAACTTTGTTTGTTGTTGGTTCCCATACTAATTAGAGATAACACTTTTGGGCAAAATTACTAGACTTTGTCTCATGTTTATGTTCTGTGTTAAATTGGCATCTATCGCTGCTTGTACATACATACATGAATTTCGCTTTGGGCGCAGCGCTGCTTGTACATAAGTTTCTCTTTGCGCCTGCCTGGAGCTGGCAAAGGTTATTTTTATTTTTATTTTTGCGCTGTGCTAGCTGAGTATAAAAAAGAGAAGAGAGAATAGAGAGAAATATGTATGTGGTTTGTTGATGCTCTCTAAACACAAACGCGTGAAAGGCAAACGGTCTAGCAATGCGTGGTATTGTTGATCAACTTAATACTTTATTTAAACATAAGGGTTGCTCACAGTTCGAGTGTGTTATCTTGTTAAAGTTGCCACCTTTTAACTTTAGAAGTAAACTGTGAGTACCCTAATTGTGCTATGCTTTAGTTTAAATTTTTCTAAAGTTGTTTACGAAACTTACAATTGCTATAAATTTAACTTCCATTTTTATTTAAGATTTATAGATTTGGTGTCTTCAAACCAAAAAAAGCACCAAAAAACGCAACGAGCACCAAACTCATAATTTTTCGCGTTTAGAATATCTAATGAAAAGCTCTAAATTTAGTGCGAAAAGCACCAAGTTGGCAGCAGTGCCTACACAGTTGCCTTCTTTTAAATTGTCCCACTAATGGTATTCCTATCAGATGTTGACTTTAACAAGCAACAGTTAAACTTCACAACAATAATAAAAACAATGCACACTCACACTCCCACACACACTATGTAGGCAGAGGAAATGAAAGATAAAAAACAATGTACGATGGAATATAAAGGAAGTGGGTGGAGCGTGGAGGAGGATGTGGTATGCAAAAATAATGTTAAAAACTTTAGAATTTGTCGCAAGTTTATGATGACTGAACTTGTTTGAATGCTTTGCGTGGGTGTGGGACGGAGAACGGTGCCTTGCGCTCTCGAGTAGTAAAAGTAATTCGTAGCCTTGCGATGAGTGAGCGGCGTGGGTTGAGTGTAATGATGGACAACTTCCGGCATTAAGCGGAAGTAACTGTTTTGCTGGGCATGCTGTGCCTTTAGCGCTGAGTAGCGGAATTTTGCAAAGTGTTGTAGCGGAAAAAAATCCTAACGGAAAACTCAATTGAAAAGTTTATTTGTGCTCTTTTTACGATTATTTCTTGGCAATTTGAACACTTCCGTAAACCGCAAATTAGGTTGTTGTGTGATGGTAAGAAGTGAGTTTTTCTTTTTACTGCTTGTGAATGTTTGTTGGTGTTTTTTTTTCATAATAACCAATTGCTCCGTTTTTAAATTAGCAAATGGTAAAAGTGAGTAATGTGGGCTTGGTGTTCATGTTATACAAACAGATATTCTAACACACATTTGAGGACTGCCATTAGGCTGATGAAGTTTGCGGTTTTCTTTCGATGTTAAAAAGCTCAGTCGAGTATAAACCATTTTGTTGTGGCTGTAAACTTTGAAAGGGTTCCTATTTACACCTTTAGAATCTCTGCAAGGCATTTATAGAATAGAGAGCTTGCGTGATCTTCCTATACTTAAAAGCGGGCGACAGTATAACTCTAGTATCATTGCGTTTTAGCCAACTAGGCAGTGGTTCATTATAGTCCTAACAGGAAATGACATAAATTTTTTGTTTAAAAAATAAGTATAACCAGACGTATTTATTTATATCTTCCAATTTAGTTCATTCAACAGCAAAAACCTTGGCAAAAACCACAAGAATAAATTTTTTAACTTCATACAGAGCTCGGGAAAATGCAAGTGAGTATCATAAAAATTTTCAATTTTCTAGTTCGATTTTTTAGAATAATGCTGAATTTCCACCAGGCATTAAATGGCAAAACTGGCAAATGACAAAGTTGGGCATTAAAAAATAGTCGTTTCATTACGTTATAAAAATTGTCATTATGTTCATTTCTTCTTCTTCTAGTGAAAATTCGGCATTCGATTCTCTTCCATACAACGTATCAATCCTTATGCACAATCTTCATTATTGATACAATTTCTTACCAATTCGACTACTTAAACAGTTTTCATTCCATTTAAAAGAACAAA